GGTAGGTATGTCCTAATATTTACCTGAAAGAAAAATGAGCCATGAGAGGACCGGGACCTTCATCAGTTAGTGAGCTGCACAGAAAAACTGCCCCCCGCCCCAAAAGCTTAGCTTTTTCTTCCAGTCCGAGAAACTAGCAATGGTAGTTTGTGTCCATGGCTGCTCGTGACCGGCTCCCAAAGCCCAGTCTCACCCCTGTGCTGTGTGGTGACTCCAGCTGCGAGGCTGGGCACACTCTGTTTCCATCTGCAGGACGGCTTGACCCGTACTCTTCCATCTCTATCCTCCCGGAGTCCAGCCTCCAGCCCACTCAGACCCTGGGGAAACCAGGGATGGCAGTTTGTAGTGAGAAAGCACTTGTCTTGCTTTAAAATGTTGTTGTTTTACAGCAGTTGTTTGCAAAGTGTGGTCCCCAGACTGGCAGCACAAATGCTGATTTGATTTTCAGCTCTGCCCCAGATCTACTGAGTCAGAAATAGGAGGTAAAATCTAGCAAGCTGCGGAACATTTCCAGTGATGCTGAGGCCCATTTGAAGACCACTGGCTTAGAGTAAGTATAAACCCCTGTCTTCCTTTTTCATTTTCCCTCCTTCCTCTCTTTCCCCATCCACATTTTATTAGTACAGACTAATGGATTTCATTTTCACAGATTCATACTTTAATGATCCCCATTAAACCCCTGTCCTCTTACCCAGTGTCACAGGATTTTTTGTTTTGTTTTGTTTCAATGTGTATATTTTGATCATATTCGTGTCATGTACTATCAACTTGTATACTCCTTTCTCTTTCTCCTTCCATTTTTTTGTGTAATAATAGTCTCCTTTCTGCTTTCTTGTAGTGTTTTTTACATTCCACGTTTCAGGAAGAACATGTGCTATCTGTCTTTCAGAGCTAGATTATCTTGTTCAATTTAATGATCTCAGCTCACAATACCAGAGAAATCAATCCACTAAAGTGTACATTTCTGTGGATTTTATCATATCCACGGGGTTATTCTATTATTCCCACAATTGTCTTAAAACATTACTATCATTTCAAATGTGCGATGCAAGTGCTTTTCCTTTTTGTGTAAAACATGTATCTGTGAAAACTCGACTTTTACCCATTCCTATTCAGAACTACTTTTCTTGTATCAAGAATATTAGGATTATTAAGCTTCTCATTGTATAGTCTTTGTTCCCTGAAAAAATTAGGGTTTGTAAGCTATTTTTAGAGATTCTTTTCCTGAGATATCTGTTTCTGAGACATTATGATATCAACTGATATTTGACTCAAATAGTGCAGTGAGGTTGCCCCCGTGCCTTCCTCCTATAACGTGACAACAAGGAGATTTGTGGTTTATAGGATATACATGCACATCTGCCCTCTGCTTGTCAAGGAATTCTAAACTAAGACATACACATCTGAGAGAGACAGCATGTTCTGAAGGGAAAATGTTGTGAAGTCTTCCACCTCAGTACTGGATGGCGGTATTGGAACCCAGATAGTTCCAGATGAGTAATCTGCCTCTACAGGATGAGGTTGTCCAACACAGAGGCCCAAAACAAAACAAAACCCTCTCTTTTGCAATTGAACATGTATTTCTGAGCAAAAGATGATAAAGAGTGTTTCCTAAAATGTGTTGGTTACAGACATGAAATGTAACCCAGTGTACTTCTGCAATTGGGAGATTTATGATCCAAAAACTATTGATGAAAACGTCAAGCACATTACACAAATTAATAGGTGGACTTTTAAAGTACTTTCATTTTTCATATCAATAAATGATAGCAAATTCTATTAATACACTAATAAGGAATTGGGATATACATCATTATTTTAAAAATTATTCATAAAACTTTAATTTTGAAAGTATAATATAGTAGTCAGCATTTCTATTGCTGGCACATAATACTTGATACCCATGGTTTAAGGGTGAGGTTTAGTTAGGATCATATTTTCAGGAGATTCAGTCTGTGGTTGGCTCCTCCACTTCTGGAATATCATGATGGAATGGCTTGGCAGAGCAAGCTGCTCAGCTCATGGAATCAAGGAAACATAACAGGGAACGGTGACAGAGAGGAAGGAACAAGAGCCAAATGTGCTTCCCGAGGTCATGCTTGTCTTGATGACCCAAGCAGAAGCCCTGGGCAGTAGGGTTACTAATCCTCTGAATGGCTCCTAGGTCAGTCAAGTCCCTGGTTTACTTAATGGTCATGTGCAAAAGCATTTTCATGAGGCTTGGCTCTTTCGTAATTTCAAAGATTATTTCCTTCCTCTCTCTAACTATTGCATGGCTTTTTATCAGCGATATAATTTCAAAGTTTTCGAATATCTTTAACACATGCTCAAATTTTACTAAAAGACTGCTGAGTACCATCCGTCTGCTGTTTCAGAGATCATACCTGGGTTTTTAATTTTTGTAATTTCCCAACATTTTAATTTGCTTGCTCAAACAGTTTGACGTTTGGAACAAATGACTCATGGCGAATTCACCGATGGAGGCCAGCACTTCACTTGGTCTCCACTTCCTCCCCAGAATTTTCAAACCTTCTCCCAGCCAGTGCAGTTTGCCAGCCAATCATGCTTTGGGGATTAACATGAGAACATCGGGAAAGGAAAAATTCCATCCTGTCAGACAGACAAGCAGAGCAGTTTCTTTTCTCAAACCAGATTTCCTATCGTGAAACAAAATTCCCACAGTTCTGATGGGAGCTTTTCCCAGCTCTGGCCTGGGTCAGATGTTATTTCACAGTAGGAATGCAAACAGCACACTTGCCCCAGTTTCTCTTTCTGTTTTCAGTGAATTTAGCTCCCTAGCTGGATTAAGATCTTTGGTTACATCAAATTTCCAGTTGGCAGAGGACCAGATGTGATTTTTCAAAGAGAACGCAGTCATGGAAAATATTTTTAAAAGTGGATATAATTTTGCCTACAGCATCTGTTGCGGGGGGTGGTATGGGGCAGGACAGAAGTGCTCTTTATTGAACATACTTTTATTCTCTAGAGAAGTGGCAGCACACTACTCAGGGTGTCCGCTCTTCAGTGTGTCAACCAGTTTTTTAGGCCTCAAGTCAAATACATTTTGGAAAATTCGGCAGATTAAAATTGTAAATTCTGTCAGACAACTGATGTTACCACTGACAGGTTAGGGTAGGTTTCCAGAAGAGCTGAGGTGCCTTGGTCCTAGGTCCCTGGTGACCTAGGTCTGCAGACACAGTGGCCTGTGTTTAATCCTCCTGCTCATGGAATAGCCAGGAAAACATAGAGCAACATCAGAACAGTCACACAGCCCGGGAGGAACAAGAGGATGCACACTTAGGATGTCGCTCTCCTCCTCCTCTCTCTCCCACTTTTGATTCTCCTTCTTTTCCTTGGTGTGCTGCGGTCATTGTCTTCTTCCAGAGGTTTTCTCTCTCCACTAAATGGGGAACATGTCTCTGGGAATCCAGAGCCACAACGTTCCAGAAGACTTCACATGTGCGGAACACTGTTTCAGACTAACTTTACAGAAAAATTCTGGGAAAAGCTTGCCCTTAGTCTCCTTGGGAGGTTTGCTCACACCTGTCCAGAAGGGGAAGAGCAGCACAGTTAAGGACCTCAGGAAGAAAATGAGTGAAGAAAACAACAGCTCTGAGTGCCCAGCGAGCAAGACTTTGCCTGTGAGGATGAGGTAAAGGACTCTGACCCATCGCATTCTTGTTCTTGGTCACAGATCATCTCCCCCTTTGCTGTGACCACACAGTCTCCAACATTTACCTCGCTCTTAGTGTCTCGTTGGGTTAGGATGCAGCCAGGACAATATTCTCTCCGAGCCTGGACCTCACCGTTGTTTGCAGGAGAAATCTTGTGTTCGTACTCTCCCCTCCGATCTTCCTCCTTCTGGGGACTTCCATGAGTCAGGGCAAGACCACTGCTCCTTTCAGTCCTGCAGCGGCCTGAGGTCCTCTTCCTGGCATGTAGGGCCTGGCAGTAGTAGGTTCAGGTCATAATTATTAAGAAGCAGTGAACACCGCAGCACTGAGCTCAGAGGCCCAGGTCCAAGGCTTCTGTCGCTTAACCCTAGTGTTGGCATGAGTTGGTCCCGTCCTAGAAGAGCGGAATGTGAAGTCCTGGGTCCTCTACCTGACTGTCCATGTGGGGGTCATAATAAGATAATAAGAGATAGGACAGGTTCTATAAACTGAGAACTCAGAGCTTTAGATTGAGCTGAACTTGATTCGACTTCTCAGAACTAGTCAATTTCATATTTCACTATGCCTAAGTGAGACAATCGAAATCACTGTCACTTTTACAAGAAGATTTGGATTGTAAGAAAAGAAAATTAATCAACTTGTCGGGTATGACAGTTTAATAACTTTTAACTGAAAGACACACTATAACCCACAAACACCCCTTGAGAATGGATGGGAGATCTGAATGAAAAATGGCTAGGAGGCTGGCCTGCCCCTTGCAAGAAAATAGAACCCGGGAGGAGGCACCTGGGAGCTCCAGAATGATGTTCCTTGATAAGAGCCATCTATGAATTAAAAGGGGAGACAAAAACAGTCCTTTGAAGTTAGGAAGTGGATAAGACATTTAAGAAATATTTTGATGTTTTTAAAGTACTAAAATATGAGAAGAAATATTTTTTAAAAATTCATTGTCAGGCTGGGGATGTAGCTCAGTGCCTGCCTGGCAAGCAAAAAAAAAAAAAAAAAAAAAAAAAAAAAAAAATTCATTGTCTACGTGCTATGAATTCTTTATGATATTGAACAAATAAAAAGGCATTTAAATAAAACCAGTTATAAAGTTGCTCCCTATCTTTGAATTCTGCATTAATGGTTTTTAAGATAATAAGTCTCCAAATAGAGAAGCTTATTAAGGTGAATTTTACACCTGACTGAAAATTCCGGGCAGGCACCACTTAATCGCTTCTGCTCACATATAAATAGTTTGTTCAGTTTCATGAACTCAATCAACTAATATTGAGTGGCCTGGTTAGTGTGTCTAGACTCTTCTGCACAAAGTAAGTAGAATTACCTGTATTAATTTTCGAGGGCTGTTGTAACAGAACCACAGCCTAGGAAGCTGAAATGAAAAGAAGGTTCTGTCTTAGAGTTCTGGAGATCAGACGTTCATAGTGAAGGAATCAACAGAATTTTGCTCTGGCCAGTTTCTCTGAGTTACCCACACACCTCGGAATTCCCTAGACATAACTCTTCAAGACAGATTCGTGGACCTACTTTTAAACCCCTTAATCCTGATGATTAGCATGGGAGTCCAAGATGCTACATTTAAATGATTTCTCACGATGTTTCATGTGTCCTAAAGTGTGAGAATTGCTTTGCTAGTTTAATATATATGAATATGTTATGCAAAATTTGACTTAGCTCATGTCAGAATTCTGGGTTCAAAGTTTTCTCTCTATTCCTGCTAGCTCCTTATTTTGGGGCACAATGTTAATTTCCCTGTACCTTACCTTTACTATCTTAGCATTAGAGTTCAGGGCACATGATATCATGCGCCCAGGGCTCAGCAATAACAAATGTCCAGCAAATGTATGTGAATATTAATATTTCCAATGCTTTTACTATCACTGCTCTTACAGTGACTTCTACCAGGATGATTTATCTAGGGTTACTAAAGAGAATTAATCCTCATCACTAAATAAATAAATACTTGTTGCTGGTGCTCTTGGAAGTCACCAACCTGGGTAGCTGATGACACACCAGCACCTACACTCTAGATGCTTACCTTTGTCTCTTTCAGTCCTGGCTTCACATTTTAACCCTGGAAGTTTTATTTGACCACAACACCTCTGGCCTGGCGCGGATCTCAGTGCTTTCAGTTGTCCTGTGCAGTGTTTTTACAACACTGAAGGGCGTGAGTCTGGGTCTGTAGGGTCAGAGGTGGGGCCATAATGCACATTTCTAAGATCTCAAGGGACACCCAAGCTGCTGGTCCAAGAAGCAAAGCTGACACAACCACGTGTGTCTGTGTGGTTCTTGCTTGGTGCCCCACAATAAACATTGCTCCTGCTTCACGGCCTGTGTCTTAGTTTAGATCCCCAAGAGATCCTTCAATGCACCCTCAGTTTTAGAGAGTCTGTAGAAGTCCTAAATGGATGACACTCTGTCTGCTGCTGGGACCCCGCAGCTCCAGGTTTTTGAGTGTCGTATACAGATAGTCCTCGAGAAGGAATGATTTTACCTAACTCTTTCGGCTTTATGATAGTGCAAAAACCATAGATTATAGAAGGAACTGTATTTCAAATTTTAACTCTAGATCTTTTCCCAGGCTAGCAGGCCATCTCCTTCTAGTGTTCCTGAGAAGGAGGAGGGAACCACATCTTCCAGTCTGCCAGGCAATCATGAGGGGAAACAGCTGACAATCTGAAGGGCACTGGGTTCCTAGACTAGGATGCTTGGTGGGTCAGGTGTACTAAATGCAATTTCAACTTGGGTTATTTCAATTTGCTATGAGTTTGGTGGGACACAGCCCTTTGCAAGTTGAGGAGCATCTAATGTAAACCATTTTCTGACAAATAAGAACTTTCTTTTATTTATAAAAATACAATTATTATTTATCATTGCCCTTATATTATAAAACATATCTGAAAAGATATATTACTTTGTTGGTGTTTTCCTCTTTAGCACTGTAAGGGTAAAAATAACTTAAAGCAATATTCTCTATTTTTATAATTGGAAAAACTATTCACTAAATTTTGAAATTCAGAAGGACTGCAAAAGAAAATTTCTCTCAGGTTATTATAAATTAGCTATTGTCTCTTTTGTTCTACCTTTTTTCCATCCTGGAAAACAAGATACAATCTGTGTTATTTAAAATAAAAATGCAAATCTCTCAGGAACACTTGCTTTCCAGCACTTTGGCTGTGGCTGTGAATCTGATTCTCACAGAGTGAAATAATCAAACTTCGCCACACAGGGGAACTATTGCTCTTTCTACATTCAACACGAAATACCATATTTGAGTTTTTAGTTCAATTTCCAAACCTTGAAGTTAGCAATAAGAACAGAAGTTATCTCATTAGTAAGAAGCCTCTTTTCCGGGTGGAAATTCTATAAGCGTGTTCTTCTAGTTTAAAGCTGATTTTGGATAATCACGACTTTAGTAATTTTTCTCAGAAAAAAAGCTCATTTTTGTCTATAGTTGGTTCCAGACCTACAAACTCTGCAAGGGAAGAGGATGGACATAGCTAAATAAGAGAGGGCAATGGTTAATCAATTATAACCAAGATACTATGAAGACCTGTTTTTTGGCAAAATAGAGGCAGAAGGAAGAAGCAGGAAAAATACTAAAAGGTGGTTTAAGGAAAGAAAACTGACCTGCATGAATCTGTTTCATGCAGAGCTAGAAAGCAATCTTACAAAATAACTGAAAGAATCAATCACTCTGAAGAGTCATTTTTAAAGACCTGCAAGTATCATTTGAGCTGATGCTTAGAATACTAACCTTTCTAGAAGCTGGTGGGATATTTTTCTTTCATATTGTGAGGTTAGCCTGAGAAGGTAGGCCATTTGGACATATTTTATTTTGTCTCTATAAAGCCTGAAAAAAACTTCTCATTTGTGTTCTTTGGTTGAAATTAAGCAAAAGGATGATGATCTGGAATTTTGGTGATGATTTGAGACTTCATTCAGTTTCAGTATCTTGTCTTTTGCATGTGGCTTGGTGTCACACAAACATGGCCGAATTCTGAAGGGAGAAGTGAGTTCCGGTGTGTGCTATCCATCTCTCCTGTACGGCCTAGTGATGAACACAGAGTCCCCTCTGTGTTACGGAGCAGATGTCAAATTCTGAGGCCCTGAGAGCCTTCCCTGACTTGTGAGCCTAAACATCAACTCAAGACCTAGCCCACTGGCTACCCAGGCCATGGACATGGGGTCTGGAGGCCTCTTTTACCTCAACCCTAAAATGGGCTAAGCTGGACGCGGTTATCAGGGACACACACAGGACGAAGTTCTGAGGTGACATCCAGCAGAAAGTGATGGAAGGGACTCGAATTTAACCCAATGAATTCTTCTTCGGCACTGTGGTTCCTGAGTGTCACTACCCAGTGAAAGATACCGTCAAAGCCACTCAGGATTCCTCCATGTTTCTAACTGCCATCTCTTAAGTCACTGACCAGAATCTTTTCCGTCTACTTTTAAGAAGTATCGTGAATCTGTTCGCCTTTGTCCACCCCCTTTGATAATTCTTGGGCCAAACAACCATTATTTTCACTCACAAGACAGAAATGCCCTCCTCAGTGTCCTCCTCGCTCTTCCACTTCGTCCTCCACTCAGGAACATGAGTAATCGTGGGGCTCTAAATCATGTACACTGTAAGCTTACTTAAAACTCTAACATAAGCCCATCGCCTCTCTCTTTCAAGTGCCTCATCATGGCTTAGGGTGACTAACCTGCCCCAGTTTGCCTAGTACTTTGTTGTTTTTAGGACTGAAAGTCTTACACTAGGAAATCCTTCCTCCCTGAAAACTACCCAGAGTAGCTTAGACCTAGCTCTCCAACCTCACCACATTTCCCTGTAGTCTACAATTTCACCACACTAACCCATCTCTCTTCCCTTGGTGAAGTAAGGTGCTTTTGTCCTCAGCCTTCCCCTTGACTTCTCCTTTGTATGACTGCTGGCTCCCAGAAATACCTGTGCTGGGGTCCTTTGTCATGTGTGACATTCGTCAGGCCCTATCTTAATGGTACTTCTTCACAGGTTCCTACTCTTAGTACCAACAACCTGACCATGTTATTAGATAACGGATTATTTTATATTTTTCTTTATTGAAAAGTATACTTCATGAGATTGATGTCTCTCTTTTTTGTTCATAATTTTGCCCAGAATAGAGCCCATGACATCACTGTTGTTGAGTTGATATTTATGGAATGAATTTGACAAACACAGCCAGCTTGGATGTGTTTTATTAGCTGTTTTTAAAGTTTCTTCTCATTGTGTTCTACATTCTCAAATTTAGTTCATTGTCTATAAAGCTGTGGATCCTGAAGCTTGGTACACACTCACTGTATGAGATCCTGATCACTAAGTGAGGCACACAAACCAAGATCCTGCCCCTTAGCTCCCCTCTGATCCTGCCCTTCATACAGTGAAGCTGACCTGTAGGTCACATTTTGAGAAATATCAAGTCTTGACTCTTCTGCATCTGCTACTACATTTCAGGCTTATTAAATGTCATCGGTACATGCCACCCAATTCTCCACTTCTCACTCAGGCTTTTATTTAACAAAGTCTTCTAAATAAAAGGTGAAGGACATGTCTGTCCACCTCAATTTGGTCTAGCATTTATTGCCCAGGGGCCAGATTAAGTATCACAGTTTTATGAAGTCTTACTTAAGTGGCTTCACAGAATTATTTTCTCTGGTTCATGCTGTTGACAATATATTTTCCTTTTTCCATGACTTTATTTTCTTAATTACATTGAGGTTTTATAAGCAGCTTGCTTTCTCTTGGTCATTATTGTGTTCTCATATGTTAAAGCACTATCTATGAATGGCTTATATCTTAGTTACTTTCTTGTTGCTGGAGCAAAATACCCAATATCCATAAGTTAAAGGAGGAAAGGTTTATTTTTAGCTCATGGTGTGTAGAGATTTCAATCCATAGTCATCTGGCTCCAAGATAAGGTGGCACAGCAGAGGAGAAATGGTTCATGGTAGGGCAGGCAGGAAGCAGCATCCTGCCTTACGTTTTCTTTTTCTACTTTATTTAGGACTCAAGTCTATCAAGTCCTAAACTCACATCCATAGTGAGTCTCTTTCTTCAGTAAATCCATTATCCTTACCCAGAGTTATGCTAAGCCCATCAGTGGCTAGTCCAGAATCCCATACCCATGGTTCACCATCACACACCCATGATCCTGTCAATCCCCAAACACAACCTATGAATGGATAAGGCTTTGGGGGAACATCTAGAGATGCACCTTAAAACTGGATGCACCTTAAAATTTGATTATAGCTCTGTGTCCAAGAAACTGTTCTTGAAGGTAAGGATTTCATCTTACTCACCTTTATTTTTCCTAGTTATGATAAATAGTATGTGTGCAACATATATATGTGATATATCTATTTGATATATATAGAAATGTAGAACGGTTGAATGGATCAATGAGCAGTGTACTCACAATCAAGCTTACAGAGAAAAATAGATAACCCAATAATGATAATGTGATGTCATTAGTGGCACAAAGTTGCAGTCAAGTAAAGTTTAGGGGAGGTTTTGGAAAATTAAGAAAGAAGTAATCATTTGCTTGAATTTTGAAGAGACAGCATTTGTGAACCAGATCAGGAGAGGAATGGGCACAGCAGAAGGGAGAACAGCATGGAAAAACACTCACAGAGTAGACTGCGAATCTGAGGGACAGCACACACAGCTGTATGACATGCGGTGTGTTAGCAATGGTGGGTGCAGGAGGAAATCAGGAGTCTAACCAAGGAGCTGTGCTCACAGTCCGGGCCAATCATAACTGGAGGAGTTTAATGCAATCTGTATTTTGGAGACAGCTGTTGGTAGTGTTGGGAGATTGAGATTTATGAAGAATCTAAAATAAAGAGGTCATTTGAAAGACTTTGAAAAGGTTAGAGAAAATTAGGGAAAGGGCAGTGTATTCATTTGTTTTTGTTGGTATAATAAAATATCTTAGGCTGGATACTCTACAAATAAAAGACGTTTATTTAACTCACTATCTTGGAGTCTGAAATACTAGATCAGTCATGTTTGTCGGTTTGGTCCATGGTGAGGAGCTGCTTAAAAACACTGAAATGTGGGAGGGAAGCAGAAAGGGAACAGCCGCATGCAAAAACGGAACAAGTGTGTGGAGTACCCTCATCTGATCAGTGCTACTCTTGTCAGAGGGTGATGTACTCATGACTAACTACCTCCCACCAGGTCCCAGCTCCTTAAATTCTACCACCTCAACATCACAACTCTGAGGCATGCCAGCTGTGGAGAGGACACACCTAATCACTACCAAGTCATCCATCGTGGCTCTGAGCATAGATTCAGAGGATTCGATTGGTAGAATAATGACTCCCAATTATGTCTCTATATAAGGCCCCAGAACTTGAGAATGAGTTTCCTTAACTGACAAAGCTGAACTAAGATTTCATAGGAACTAAAATTGCTAATCATCTAATTGAGGATGAGATTTTCCTTAATTATCAAGATGAACCCAATGCTGCTCCAAGTGATGATCTTAAAATAGAATAAGGAAGCCAGAGAGACAACCAGATGGTTGGGTGTGAAGGAGTTGGCCTGACATTGCCAGCTTTGAGGAGGGAGGAAGAGGTGAGCCAAGGATGGCACATGGCCTTAGAATCAAGGAGTGTGTTCTCCGCACAGCCTTCAGGAAGGGTTAGCGAGTGAGACGTATTAGAACTTTTACTTTTCAGACCTTTGAACTATGGAAGTGTAAGATGATAATATACATGGTTTAAAACAACAAGTCAGTGATGATTTATTACAATGAAATAAAATTAATATAAGAAGCTTATCTGAAAGATACATAAAAAAGGAGGAGTTTAAAGGATAGCAGTGATTTACATGAAACTAATTTATTTTGTCAGTGGCCTGGAAACCAGCAGTCTGACATTTAGATGTGAGTAGAAGTGGTCTTCCCCTTTGGTAGGGGAAGACCCTTCTTTTTGCTTCTTCCAGGTTCTGGAAATGGCTCATTCCTTGTTTTATGTCCACACTACTCCAGCTTCTGCCCCCACAATCACACTGCTGAAGCTCTTCTGTCTGTGCAAACTTCCTGTGCCTCCCTCTTATAAGGGCAGGAGTGACAGGTTTAGGGTCTACTCTGATAATCCAATTAAACTCCTCCCCAAATTCTTAATTATATGATATTTTGGTGATATTTACATTTTATCACAGGCAGTAAAAACTCACAGGTTGTGGTACTGGGGAAAAGGACTTATCTCTTTGGGATCCACCGTTCCACCCATCTCCGATGCTCTGGCAGGCACTCAGACCAAATCATCTCCGTTTGCAGTCCATTTCAGCAATGATGTCTTTTGCGATTCCCTGACAAACTGACAACGGGAGAAACTATTATTTAGCACAGTTCAAAGTAATTGACAGGATACATGAGTCCTTTTTTCTTTTAAAAAGAAAAAAAGATAAAAAATAACAATGAAAAAGAGTTTCAAAATAGGTAGGGCAGCTATAATAATCAATGTATTGCATACCACTGTCTTCGTAATAGTTACTCAGAGTACAAGACATAGGCATGATATCTTGTCCAAGCATTATTAACAAAAACGTTTCCCTCCCAAGACCCAAAGAAACTAGCTATTTAGCTATCTTAACTATCTTGTGTAACTATAAACTTCTAGAAGAGTTTATATCTGGACTGCATTTATTTTTTAAATACTGTTTTCTATGCTGCAAGTCTTTTGGTGAGCTTGTATACTTTTTCACTTGCTCATCAGACGTTACTTTTCTTTCTGTGGTCTAGCGTGCATTTGTTGTAAACACTTGGAAGAGTGAAATTTGGACATCCTCAGTGTGATAAGGCAAGAGTTTTGGTTGTAGAATGCTAAGATTGCATTTAATTACTTTAAAGTACACTAAGTTCACTGAGATTGAGAGGAAGGGGAAATGCCCATGTTAAGCAAACACTTTAATAAGCAGATAATTTATGAGAATATTCGGTGTGAGGAACAAAATTTGCATATAAAGTGGTTTTCTAAATTGCCCTAAAACAGTTTAGAGTCCTAAGCGTTTCCCTTGCTTACATTTTTAGCACGCTTTGAAGCTGTTCATTTCACAGAAAGAACAAAGGTACACTTTGACCTGGCAGTCCATTATTTGAAATTCTGATCTGGAGGAATATTAAAAATAAATAAGGACTTTTGCTAAATTTAAGAGAAATCAAATGGAAACTTTATTGAATTTTGGGTCAAATAAGGTCAGATAACACCTCTCACCTCTATCCTTCCTCTCCTGCTCTGGGTACAGGAGAAAAGCAATTTTCTTTTTTACTCTCTGTTTTAGTCTGTGTGCTTTCATTTTTGCTGGGATTATATATTTCTCAAGGACAGGAAATACAAAAGACAAAACGCAAACATTTCAAGAGTCTCCAAGCACCTTTTAGCACACTATAGTTAATAAATGTCTGTTTATGACATGTGGGAACAACACAAACAATTTATCAGTATTTTTTACAATTTTTCAGCTGCTCTCTATTTTATGAACTAGACATGTTTCTGACCATTGTGTTCCCAATATTTAGACTCTCTCCTCCAAGGAAACAACAAAGCCAAAGTTACGAGTCTTAATAACATTGAACAGAAAAGGCAACAACAAAAATCCCTCACAAACTTTGCATAGCTTTGTCCGTATAAATAAAATTTAAACAAATGCTCCTGAAATTTTACATTTTAAGAAAAAAATGGAGAGTCTACGAAAATCAAGGGCCAAGTGAGCCATGAGGGCACACTGATGATAGTCAGTGCTTCTCCTAAAGGTCTTGCTTCCTCCTTCACAGCAGAAATATACTGTCTAACATGTGCTGCCAAACATTCTGCCCTCACCGAGCTTCAGACAAGCTCCTCTGACCTCTCTTTTTAACCGAGCTCTACCTTGGGCTTCTGGGTCCTCTTCTGTGGAGTCCACTTCTAGCTACCATTCTGCTAAGTCAGTTTAACCCAAGTCTTCCACATTCTATCTGATCAACTTTCTCACCTGGTTTCACCTTTTGTATGGTTTCTGTTCACACTGGCCTTCTCTGAGCAATAATGCTATTAAATTTTCTCTTAGTAGATTCCTATCTACTGATCCCAATTCTATTGTCAAAAAAATACTTATTTTTCTTTGTTCAGTCCCTCTCCTCTGCTCAGAAACTCCTTTCAAATCATTCACCTTAAATGTAGTCTCCTTCCCATCTTTAGCAAACTTCTTTAATAGTGTCTGCCAATTCACTCTGTGCTGTGCCTGGTGACTGTGCATGTTACTCCACTATTTAAAATCCCAAGCCCCCAAGTCCAGTTTGTGAGGATGATCTGGCTCCAGTCCACCTAAGCAGTTTTTGCAGCTCTGGCTCTCGCCCTCTCCTGTGCCATAGTCCTATCTCCTGCAAGGGAATTACAAATACTACTTTTATTTTCTTGGCTCTGTCCCACATCACCGTCAGTCTCCTTTCCTCCACCCCCTCTGCCTAATTGCCCTCACTCTGGCAATCTCTCCTCTCTCCTTTAGTGGGTGTATGTGCTATTTCCCCTTTATTGGAATGAGTCTCCACTGCCCTACAGTGGGCTACCTATCTGCTGGTCATCATGATCTCTTCTTCCTTCTCTTTCTGATCCTCCTTTTCCTCCCCTGAACTCAGTTAAGATACCACATCGTCTCAGGTAACACATTAATTAATTTTTCTTCAGTGAAATAAAATACCTTCGCCAAGTGAAAAGAAATTTATTTAGCTCACACTATAGATTCAAGAACACGGTGCTGACATCATCTGTGGTCTGATGAAGATGCTGGTGGGTGTGAGAGGGAGAATTCACGCCACCAAACAAGAAATCAATAAGGCTGAAGTTCCTTAATTGCCCCCCAAAAGCATTGGGAGGTGACCTTAGAATCTCACATTAGACCCAAAGTCTTAAAGGCCCCCCGAGCACACTAAAGAACAGACCTTCAGCACTTGAATCTTTAGGAGACAAACACTGGATTTCTCTTCTCTGAGTGGCATCTCCTCCTTTACTGTTTGCTGTTCATTCCTTTTACTCAACAGCGCCTTCTTACATAGCTGCTGTCACCTCACATTAGTTTTCTGCTAACTTGTGTCATTAGTCTTTATGAGGTCACAAACCATCATACCTAAACACTTATACTGAATAATGATTTTTTTGAGGTTGTCAATAATTTTGATAAGCTAGAGAGAACATACAATGTGTTCTTACTAAAGAAAGAGCTTTCTTATCTAAGACAGTAGAGCCAAGATGATTTCATGGCTTAAGTTCTTGTATTGGAAAACATGTAGTTTTTCTTACTTTGTTGTAGCTGAACTTAATTTAGCTCAGAAATTCCCATTTCTTGTAATGCAGAGACTCAGTTTTTGGCGCTTTGACGCAGGACAATCACTTCAGCCTTACACTCATGCTTTCTTAGGTAAATATACACTTAAATCCAAATTTTCTCCCTTGCCTCCTCTCCCTAGCCTTTTCGTATAATTGTAGCGTTACAAAAGGAACCCTTTACCTCTGGACTCAAGGGGTCCCATCAGTGAATGTAGCCCTATGCCTTTTCCTCTATGCAAGCAACAGTGGGGATCTTTTCATAAAATTCTCTCTCTCTATCTCTCTCTCTCTCTCTCTCTCTCTCTCTCTCTCTCTCTCTCTCTCTCTCCTTTCTTGGCCTCCATCTCAGCTTGCATTGTGTGTTACTTTTTTCTACACCACACTATGGTGTATACCTGGATCCTGGCTGAAGCAACTGTGTAGCTTCTGTTTCTAAGAGCTTAGATTTGAATACCTGAAATACAGTTCTTTGGCCCAATCTCTAGCAATCAGGTCTCAGTCACCTGGTTCATGGGAAGTATTTTTGAAGCAACATCATCACCCATGGGATTTGAGTGCCTCTCTTGAACTCTACCTTCCTAGTCTATTATATAATTTCCTTCCATCTTAGCCCCCTCTAAAAAAGCTCCACAGTGGACAATGACTCAAGTTGAGGAGCATGCCACGACCTATGATGCGTGGCACAGTCATTCTGAGTCTGTGAATAACCCTGTGCATCCTTATACTTTACCTCTGAATTTTCTATTGAGCAGATTCCTGGGCTGCCTCTGTAAGTTCATCCTATGCTGGCTTACCCTTCAGGGTTTATTTTCCAGTATCATTTATCTGCATCACTTCCCAGATATCTAAGACTAACAGAAAATCAGGATTGTGCTATACAGATCTGGAAGAGAGACACAATTCCTGGTCATAGGACAAAACTTCCTGTAACTAACCTGCTTTCCAGGTCAGATTAAAAAGTTGTCAAGGCCAGAAAATTATCTCATTCTTTTCCCATTTCTCAAGAGCAGATTACATAAGGCTTCAATTCTGAAAATTTAGGGAGAAAGTATAGGTTGAAAATACCTGGAACCCAGAGATGCTTGATGATGCTAATTTATTTCTTTACAGTGACAAATGATAGATATTTAGAGTTGAGAAAATCATATTTTTTCTTTTAAAGCAGTTGAGCTGTGCTTAATACTCTGGAAATTCATTATGTAGACTAATTATGTTCTCTGATGCTTTGAATGATTTTAAAGTTTCATTAAACTATCTCTAGAGTGGATACTGCTCTAAAAATTAACCCTCCATGACTTGTTTTCCTCTGTTATATGTTCACAAATTCACATCATTTTAGCTTTTCTGTTTGTAAACTAATCCTCAAGCCCTTAAAACTCTGGTGATTTTTATTAAAATATAACACTCAAGAAGTAATTATCTAAAAAGAAATAGATCCAAATCACATTCATTTAACAGTTAGTTTCAGAGAAAAAAATAAAAGTATAATTTGCCCATATAAATATAAGAATAAGCCTTAAAAGAGACTGGCAAATTTTAATGCTTATTTTGTTCAATAAGCAAATAATGTAACTTAGAATAGATTGTTGGTTGTTCTGCATTGACTGGGACAATTTTTGTCATAGATTTGAGCTACATGACATTGTTTAGTGTGAGCATTCATGCTGTGTATTTATTATGAGAACAAATGCTAAATTTGGAATTCCCAATTCCCAGTTTTCCATGGTCTTAAATGAGTTGGCCCGAGGGAGGCATAACCCTATAAAAGAATTTAGGATATTCCATGTTTTCTGTTTATTCTTTCAATCAAGAAATGTAAGTTCCAGATTATGTTTTGTAACACAAAAAAGTTCTAAACCCAATATACCTTCTTAACCAAAGATTGCTCTTGTCAGAGTGAAACCAACCTCATAGGCTTTTAGGATAAGGTGAAATTAGGTATGCAGGACCATTTGACACTGAAATCAAGTTCATTAGACTCAAACATGTAGTTAAATTTGAACTGGATGACTGGGAAAAAAATGAGAAACCCTTCTAATAATACAATGGCCAAGCTACTCCAGTTCCTAAAAATCTCACTGAGTTGGATCTTTTTTTGTTTTTGTTTTCATTTTATTTGGTACCAAGGATCAAACTGATGACCTCATGCTTGCCTGGCAGGTGCTTATGCCGCGAAGTAAATCCCTGGCTGGGTTGGATCTTTATTAACTTCATAAAACTACCTGAAAATAAAAGACACCAAGGATCAGCTTTGATGATGCATGATAAGAACAACTATTAAGTAGTCAGTCAAGCTGCGGAAAATGGATGTCAAAAATGGTTTGCAATTGTTGCAAATTTTCCTGAAAGAAAACAAGTAGTTGGAACATGTGAAAATGGATAGAAAACAACCAAATAAGCAAAAATAACGCCATTTTCAACAGCCAAATAAATACAAACTATATGACTAAATATAATAGAAACCATAAGTGATAACTATAAAGAGCAAGTCTTTTCTAAACATAAAAGAGAAAATATGAATGAATGTAAAACATATACTATTCTCTTTAATGTGAAGATTTAATACTAGGAGAAGTTCACTTTGTATCTATTTTAATCTGTATTTAATGTGCATTAGATTCAGTTATGATAGAAGAAATTTGATGTGATATAAAAATGAATATGAGTCTGAAAGAAATGCCTACATAATCTTACAGATAAAAATGGGGCCTTGGATTTTCATTAAAAAGTATTAAAAACAGTAAGTAATACTATTGGATGAATTTATGAATTCAAATAGAGATAGGACCAAATATAAATAAATGTATAAAATAATAAATTGAGTTTTCAAATTATCAGGAGTAAAAATTCAATAATTGATATTGGAAAAACTGGCAGAATATTTTGGAAAAAAATTTAAACCCTTCATATTTTAGTAAGAATTTAAAATTAATAAATTTTAAAATGTATAAAATATTTGAAATAAAAATACAGAATATATAAATATTCAAAGATAAATATTATAACTAAAAGTCCTCTATTAAACAAAAAAACAAAAGCATATTAAATGACTCATGTAAATCAATTTCATTTACAAATACAGACATGAAGTTTTAAATTATGCACTAGTAAGCTAAATTCATCATTAATCATGTAATCATGTGAGAAATTCAATTAGCAATATCCACAAATATTTTATATATGAGCATTATATTGTATACCTAGGCTTTAGTTTCAGTCTAAACACATACAAACATATAGAGTTCATATAATCAGTTTAAATTTCATAATTGCCAAATAGATAAATACTTCTAACTGTGGAAACGTGTGTACGACATACTGGCAAAAATTAGGTTAACACATTACGTACGATGTATTTTAGATTCTGCTGTGTGCATCACGGGGCGGGGGGCACACACACAAAAGACTAAACAAAGCAATGTCCGTCTCTATAAAAGTGTTACTCCTTGGGTAGTTGGGTTATTATTACTCATGGTCTTAGTTTGGCTCAGTAGCGCTATATAAGCTTTCTATGACAAGTTTTCTTGTTTTTATGAAACAAGAAAAATTCAAGTTTAGCAAGAGGATGTGCTGTATCTTTTATTAAGAAAGTTCCCTGAGTCCTTAGCTGTTCTGTTACCGCAGGTCACCTGCGATTTCTCACACGGAAGCACATTGCGCTCTTTGTAGCCTGTCCCTTCCGCATCTCCCATCAGAGGGATAATGTAATTAGCTGCTTCTCTCCTGAAACGTGGTGCAGTGATTAGGCATTTCTTGAGACAAAGCAGATGTTTCTGATTAATTTACTCGGCTTGATTAAATTAAATCTCTGAAATGGAAATATCCATCCAGGTTGAAATTAATTTGGCCTGAGTTTAACATGCTAAATCGTTGTAAGGTCTAAAATTATAGATTTGCCTGAACTAACTATTACTGTTTGCTTCTACTGATTTTAAAAAATTAAAATGATCATTTTTTATATAAAATACACCTAGAAGTTTAACTCACTTTGTACTTACTTTCCATTGATTCATTTCTTTAAATTCAATACAATAAGGTAATCATTGAAGCATGTGTTAGTACTGGGAAAAGACAGAGCTCTACACGGTTTAACTGCTGTCTGCTGGGGCTGAGCTACCCTGGTGTATTTAGATGCACTTGTGGGGAGTTTGTCCTTCTGGAAAAACACGCTCAGACAAAGACAGGGGAAATCATACAGTGATTACAAGTTTTCAGGAAGTGTGGAGTCATGAGTCGTGGCAGGACTGGGGTGGGAGCGGTGGTCTTTGGAGTGATAGTAATAAAGCCAGGCGTTTAAACCAGAATCAAGATGTTGAATGTCAAGTTAAGAGGTCTGAAATCCACTATGTACAAAATAGGTATCAGTTAGATATTTTCTAAAAGGAGAATTTCCTAGAAAGAAATGTGACTGTTGGGAAAGGGAAAGGAAAGGCAAGAGAAGGGGGTGGCTGGAAGGCTGGGGTGCTTGTGCTAGCAGGACTGCTTCCAGGTGTTGGCAAAGGCAGTGACAATGTGGGCGAGGCAGGCACCGCAGAAATGGGGAGGCAAGACTGGCACAGTTTGGATCTGCTACGAGCAGAAGGGGAATCTGAAGGTGATGTTTTGTGTCAGGCCCTAGCAGCCCTAAGATGATAGTGACATTACTAGTACTGAGATGCCGTAGTAGTGGTGGATGTAATGATTGTGATACAATGTCAAGAGGAGAGGGAGAGGCGGCTGAGT